AAAGGAGGAAACTTGATGATTTAAATGAGGCTGTGACTGAGATCAAACTGTTGAGTCTGTTTCTTCACTCCAGGAAATAGTCTGATCCACACGTCTCACCTCAGCAGCTGCAGCAGCCGTGACTTCAGAGTCCTGATGATTATTGATCATGTTCCATTGATCCAGTCTGATCATATTAACAGTGATCAGGTCTGTGACTTCAGACTGCTGGTGTCAGTATAAATCACAGATCCTGGATCTGACCCGAGGTCCTTAAAGTGTATAATGAGTTTATGATGAATCATCTCTGATTGTTTATTTAGATCATGTTCGAATGAATGATCTCCATGTGTCGGAGCAGGTGAGGGGAACGTTCATGAAACCTGAAGATGGAGATATCTTCATTATTTACCTGTGTGAACTCACCTGGACATGAGACTCACCTGAGTCGCTCCAGATGTTAAACTCAGTTGAACTGTGACGATGCTGCTGGACGTTTCAGGCACGACAGGTTCAGGTACGTCTTTAAAAACTGGTCATGTGACGGGTTTGTCCTCGATGGTAAACTGTGACAAAGACTTAAGACTGGGAACTGGTTTAAACTGGTTTAAACTGGTTTGAACTGGTAAAACTGGTTTGAACTGGTTTGTGATCCAGCAGCTGGTTTGAGGCCTGTTGGTTCCAGATGTTTGTTGTCATGTGGTCATTGAAGCGACAGCGAGTCTCAGAGTTTCTGATGTTTATTGTTGTTACAGCAGAAAAATACAGAATCAATCAAACTGGATCAGATTCGATTAGAGACCAGAACCACTGAGGAAAACAGTGATTCACACAGTGAAGCAGCAGGTGAAGCAGAGCTCAGGTCCAGCTGAGACACCACAGTCCAGATCAGACCTGATCCAGGACCGTCAGAGTCCAGCTGAGACACCAGAGTCCAGATCAGACCTGATCCAGGACTGTCAGTGTCCAGCTGAGACACCACAGTCCAGATCAGACCTGATCCAGGACCGTCAGTGTCCAGCTGAGACACCACAGTCCAGAGCAGACCTGATCCAGGACCGTCAGAGTCCAGCTGAGACACCACAGTCCAGATCAGACCTGATCCAGGACCATCAGAGTCCAGCTGAGACACCACAGTCCAGATCAGACCTGACAAATGAACAGGATTGTGGTTTACAGTGTGATGGTCCTGGACCAGGTCTAGAGACTCAGGTGTTCAGCCAGTCCAGCAGGTGGCAGCACCGAGAGTCTGAGCTGAAAACAGAAAGCAGGTTAAAGCAGCAGCTGATTTTTCTTCCATCTGAGAAGCAGCAACAGGACCAGGACCAGAACCAGGACCAGGACCGGACCAGGACCAGGACCAGGACCAGAACCAGGATCAGGACCGGACCAGGACCAGGATCAAGACCAAGACCAAGACCAAGACCAAGACCAGGACCAGGACCAAGACCAGGACCAGGACCAGGACCAGGACTAAGACCAGGACCAAGACCAGAACCGGGACCAGCACCAGGTCCAGGTCCAGGTCCAGGATACAGGACCGTCTCAGTTGGTAGGAACCAGGATCCGTCCTGGTTCAGAGAGAAGAGATGAGGACCGGGTCAGAAACAGAAACATACAGCACATTCATCATTCCATCTGTTTGGGTCATAAACTCTGATGACATCACGGTTAATAGCTTGAGGTGCTAACGCTGCTGTTTGTGCGTCTCATTCTCCCGTGCATGTGACGTGCACTACAGGCGTCGCAGCAGTGACACTGTGTGTGAGTGTAGAACAGCAGACTGCAGTGAACACGCAGTGCGCTCTCGCTCAGGAACTCTCTGCTGTTGGCGACACGTTCACTGACAGGTGTCACAGGAAACTACAAACACTAGGCTGTTGGCGAGGCGTTCACTGACAGGTGTCACAAAAAACTACAAACACTCTCCTGCTGTCAGTCCTCTGTTTACAGAAACCCCACCACACAGGTACTTCCCCATTACACCGGTCTGAACTGGTCTGAACTGGACTGAACCTGAACTGGTCTGAACTGGTCTGAACTGGTCTGAACTGGACTGAACTGGTCTGAACTGGTCTGAACTGGGCTGAACTGGTCTGAACTGGACTGAACTGATCTGAACTGGTCTGAACTGGTCTGAACTGGACTGAACTGGATTGAACTGGACTGAACTGAACTGAACTGAACTGGTCTGAACTGGTCTGAACTGGTCTGAACTGAACTGGTCTGAACTGGACTGAACTGAACTGGACTGAACTGGTCTGAACTGGTCTGAACTGGGCTGAACTGGGCTGAACTGAACTGAACTGGTCTGAACTGGACTGAACTGATCTGAACTGAACTGAACTGGTCTGAACTGGACTCAACTGGACTCAACTGGACTCAGCTGGACTCAACTGGCCTCAACTGGTTTCAGACTGTAAACTGGTATGAACTGGTATGAACTGGACTGAACTGGACTCAACTGGACTCAACTGGACTCAACTGGACTCAACTGGTTTCAGACTGTAAACTGGTGTAAACTGGTTTCTGATTGTAAACTGGTGTAAACTGGTTCCAGACAATAAACTGGTGTAAACTGGTTCCAGACTGTAAACTTGTGTAAACTGGTGTAAACTGGTTTCTGATTGTAAACTGGTGTAAACTGGTTTCAGACTGTAAACTGGTGTAAACTGGTTCCAGACAATAAACTGGTGTAAACTGGTTTCAGACTGTAAACTGATGTAAACTGGTGTAAACTGGTTTCTGACCTCGGGCCTTCCTCCTGTAGTAGATGAATCCAGCCAGAGATAAGATCAGACCCAGGATCAGTCCTGAGGCTCCGATGGCGATCTTGTTTCTCTCTGACTCAGGCATGGACGGATCTGAGGACAGACAGGTAGAGACAGACAGGTGAGCAGACAGACAGGTGTAGAGACAGACAGGTAGAGACAGACAGGTGAGCAGACAGGTGAGCAGACAGCCAGGTGTAGAGACAGACAGACAGACAGACAGGTGAGCAGACAGACAGGTGAGCAGACAGCCAGGTGTAGAGACAGACAGGTGTAGAGACAGACAGGTGAGCAGACAGACAGGTAGAGACAGACAGGTGAGCAGACAGCCAGGTGTAGAGACAGACAGGTGAGCAGACAGACAGGTGTGGAGACAGACAGGTAGAGACAGACAGGTGAGCAGACAGCCAGGTGTAGAGACAGACAGGTGAGCAGACAGACAGGTGTGGAGACAGACAGGTAGAGACAGACAGGTGAGCAGACAGCCAGGTGTAGAGACAGACAGGTGAGCAGACAGACAGGTGTGGAGACAGACAGGTAGAGACAGACAGGTGAGCAGACAGCCAGGTGTAGAGACAGACAGGTGAGCAGACAGACAGGTAGAGACAGACAGGTGAGCAGACAGCCAGGTGTAGAGACAGACAGGTAGAGACAGACAGGTGTAGAGACAGACAGGTATTTACCCCAGTCAGTAACCAGAGGTTCCTTCAGGCTGGCGTGCTCCACCACACAGGAGATCTTCTCTCCAGACCTTCAACACAAACCAACATGTTTCTGTCACACCACTGATCTGGACCCAACTGGACCCAGCTGGACCAACTGGACCTAACTGGACCCAGCTGGACCTGCAGGTGGACTCACCTGGGTGTGTACTCCAGGTGAGAGTGGACCTGGTAGAACCAATCACCATCTGCCAGCTCATCAGTGGAAGTGACATCAGAGGAGACTTCCTGTCCGTCTCTGTGCCAGCTCACTCTGATCTGTTTGGGGTAGAAGTCGAAGACGCTGCAGACCAACATGGCAGGATGTTTACCAGCAGGGGGCGTCGTGGAGCTCATGACCACGTAGGGCTCAACTGGAACACACATTATTATCAATACTATTATTGTTGTTGTTGTTATTATCATTTTATTATTATTGTTATTTTCTCATGATCACATTATAACAGCTGCAGTTTTATCTGCTGCAGCTTTAATATCACAGTTAATGTCAAACAACAGATTTATAGTTTTGATTTCTGGGAAAACGAAGCAGAAAATCAAAAGATAAAATGATAATTGTCATTAACAGTGTGATGAACAGCAGCAGCTGCAGTGACGCTGTTTCTCCACCAGGTGGAGACACAGACTGTGACATCACTTCATTTCACACAGAGAAATAATCGTTAATGAGTCCTGACGAACCAACAGAGAAAATATGAAGCCAGAAAAATAATAATAAAAACATGTGGAACAAACTGAGTCTGAGGTTCAGTCAGTGGATGAACCTGAGGTTTAACCTGATGATGTCACCAACACTCACCTGACTTAGTCAGAGCAGACTGGTACCAGATCTGAATGTTGTGAACACAGTATCTCTCCTTCTCATTCCTCCTCTGAACCACCTCTGGACCTTTGTTCCAGTAGTCAGCGTTCTTCACTCCAAACTCAGTGTATCCAACAAACTTCCCCACTCTGCTGTCAAACCTGGCGATCTCCAGTTTGTTGTAGAATGCAGAGTAGATGAACGTGATGTCGTTCGGATCAGTGGAGTTAAACTCACAGCGATTCACTGCATAATTCATAAATCCATCTGAAGAACAAACAGTCAGAGAATTATCACTGTATTGATCACTGATCAGTGTATTGATCAGTTTATAGATCAGTGTATTGATCAGTGTGTTGATCAATGATCAGTGTATTGATCAGTGATCAATGTATTGATCATTGTATAGATCAGTGATCAGTGAATAGATCAGTGTATTGATCAGTGATCAGTGTGTTGATCAGTGTATATATCAGTGATCAGTGTATACAGTATAGATCAGTGATTAGCATATTGATCAGCGTATTGATCAGAGTATAGATCAGTGATCAGAGTACTGATCAGTGTATTGATCAGTGTATTGATCAGTGTGTTGATCAGTGTATAGATCAGTGATCAGAGTATTGATCAGTGTATAGATCAGTGATCAGTGTATTGATCAGAGTACTGATCAGTGTATTGATCAGTGTGTTGATCAGTGTATAGATCAGAATATTGATCAGTATTGATCCTACCTGCTGTGGACGCAGCGATGAAGAGGAGGGAGAAGCTGAGGAAGGATGAAGCCATGTTCCTCTGTTGACCTGACAAACACTGACACAGTCGGACTGAGAGCTGCTGTAAAAACCAGAGGACGAGGTCACATGACCTGCAGCGTCACCTGTTACCAGGCAGACAGCTGTGGCAGAGGTTCACTTCCTGTTGTACTGTGTTCAGGTGAAACATGAAGAGCTGCTCACTTTAAACATGGACATGGAGGATGTTAATGTTAATGTGGAGGCTTTTATTAATGAGTCATAAAGTCACAACAACAATTTAAATTCACACAGGATCAATAAAAGTTCAGAAACAGAAACAAGATTTTTATTTTTAATCCAAAAACAAAGAAGCAGAAACTGAGCTGCTGATTCTGTTCTTTGATTCTCTGGTTGAAAACATCAGAGAAAAACTTTCACTGTGAGAGTCCAGAATCTAGACCAGCACCAGGTCCCAGAGTCCTGAATCTGGACCAGCACCAGGTCCCAGAGTCCTGAATCTGGACCAGCATCAGGTCCCAGAGTCCAGAGTCCTGAATCTAGACCAGCATCAGGTCACACAGGCCAGAGTCCTGAATCTAGACCAGCATCAGGTCCCACAGGCCAGAGTGCTGAATCTAGACCAGCATCAGGTCCTACAGTCCAGAATCCTGAGTCCAGGGTCCAGAGTCCTGAGTCCAGACCAGCACCAGGTCCCACAGGCCAGAGTCCTGAATCCAGACCAGCACCAGGTCCCACAGTCCAGAGTCCTGAATCTAGACCAGCATCAGGTCCCACAGGCCAGGGTCCAGAGTCCAGGGTCCAGGGTCCAGGGTCCAGAGTCCAGGGTCCAGGGTCCAGAGTCCAGGGTCCAGGGTCCAGGGTCCAGGGTCCAGGGTCCAGGGTCCAGAGATCAGGGTCCAGAGTCCAGGGTCCAGAGTCCAGGGTCCAGGGTCCAGGGTCCCGAGTCCAGAGTCCAGGATCCAGGGTCCAGGATCCAGGGTCCAGAGTCCAGGGTCCAGGGTCCAGGGTCCAGGGTCCCGAGTCCAGAGTCCAGGATCCAGAGTCCAGAGTCCAGGGTCCAGGGTCCAGGGTCCGGAGTCCAGGGTCCTGAGTCCAGAGTCCAGGGTCCAGAGATCAGGGTCCAGAGTCCAGAGTCCAGGATCCAGAGTCCAGGATCCAGGGTCCAGAGTCCAGAGTCCAGGGTCCAGAGTCCAGGGTCCAGAGTCCAGAGTCCAGATTTAGCTGCTGCATTTTTCTCTTAATAAATCATTTATTAGTGACTGACCTCAGGTCAGTGTGGAACTGATCTGAGGTCGTGGTCGTTCGCCTCCCAGCCTCCAGGGGTCAGTATGAGTGTGACACACCTGTGGAGTCAGGAGACGGACAGGTGAGTCACAGTGACTGTGCAGGTACAGGGGGAGGAGCCAGCTTCATCAGACGCTCTGTAACATTTAGTGGGAGTTAGTTTGATCGTGTGGAAACTTCAGGTGTTTAATGTCACAGTTTTTATTCTGCGTCTAAAACTTTTCATTAAAGTTTGAGCAGCTTGTAAAAATGTGAAAATATAAAACTTCTGTAATTGTAATTTCAACTTCTTTGTAAGATACCCAACCTCCCACCTTCTCACCAAGATATCAGACTTTTAATTGTAATTGTAAATTGAATTCTTTGCATTTCAACTACCTGAGACACCTAACCTCTCACTTTCTCATCAATGTTCAAACCCTTTTGTATTTTAAATAGTGTTGACTAGACCTCTTAACTCCACACTTCAAGGGGTCGGTGCCGATACCTGCGAAAGACAAAAGAGTGTTGAAGCACACCATAGGTAAGAGGCCGACCCCACAGCAGGCAAAGGACGTGAAACACACCCCAGGGGTGGGCCTCTCCCTCAGGTATAAATGTTCAAGGTTCCCCATGCTCGGGGTCTTTCTTCATTTTGAACCGCTCGCACGTTGATTGACCTTTTCTTTGCAAAGAAAATAAAACCTTGTCGGCCGACGGAAGTCTCTATTTCATTCTTCACCAAGAGCAGAACATTTCCACGACACTTCAAATCAAACAACAACGTTTGTTCTTTAAATTCCTCAGTGTTTTTATTTCCACCTTCATGTGCAGCACAGACGCAGCTCCACTCTGACACGTGATGCTGGTGTCAGTTACTTTCATCATTTACTGCTCGGAGAAACAAAGGTGCAATGTCAGGAACCTGATTCTCTTTTCTCGTCCTGTTGCATTCTGGGATTTGTCCCGGGGGTTTAACACCTGTTGACTCCGGTGATGTTCACAGGTTCTCTGTTGTTCAGACACAACAGTGTTTAAATGAAAGAACCCAGAACATTTCTCACCTGTTTTTCCTCCGGTCGTTTCCACCAGGAACATTTAGGACTTTCCCTCAGACTCACTTTATTTTCTTGTTGTGTTCAAATCCAAACTGTTGTTGGAGACGTTACGTCCACCTGTTGGTAACGGAGCTCTGACTGACACACAGGAGATGCACAGTGTGAATCTGAATCCAGGTTCTTCCAGTCGCTCTGTGACTCATGTTGAAACTACAGACTTTCTTTCATTAAACATCAGCTTCAGATTCTGTTGAAGGTTTGAATCTTCAGTCAGAGATTCTTCAGATTCTTCACATGGAGCTTTTCTCTTTCTGTCAGTGAGCAGCTGCCTCTGACATTTCAGCTCCTGAAGAAGCTGCAGAGTGAGCGCTCCTCTCCAGGGTAAAATCACTCCGCCACATCAAGTAGTCCCGTCCACAGGGGGAGGTGTCTGTGAGGTTAGTCTGACATGGAGGGAGAGAGGCCTCGTCATCTCCCGCCTTCTGCTCACAGTAACTTCATACCATGTGAATTAGCACACATTAGCTCACAGGGCTAACGTGGCCTGTTCACCTGGATGTGAAGGTGAAGTGTGACGGTTCAGTGAAGCCGAGCTGGATGGTTTTAATATTCAGTTCAGTAGAAACTGAGTTCATCAGATCAGTTTCTATAAGAACTGACCTGAAGTCTGCAGATAACTGTCACACACATGAATGTTCACATGAAGAAGAATGAAAGGACACCTGAGAGACGTTCAGACCCCGCCTCCTCTCTCACCTGCACACAGCTGACCAATCACTGAGGGAGGAGGCTGTGATGTCACAGTTACCTGCTGCTTTCAGGTGACGTCTGTTAGATCATAAAACACAACAGTGACCGTCTCTTTAACACCTCAACATCTGTCTGTTGTCTGTTGTCTGTTGTTGTTGTTGTTGTTGTTGTTGTTGTTGTTGTTGTTGTTGTCGTTGTGTCTCAGACTCTGACTGGTATCAATACCTCAGTTATGATTCAGACTCTGTCAGAGGATCAATAATCTGATCAATAATAAACCTGTCAGTCAGCTGTGGCCCCTCTGACAGATGGACACTGATTCAGACGTCACTGATTTATCATCGTCTCTGATTGGTCAACCTGTGATCACATGTCACAGACTGATGATGTCAACACGTGATGAAGGTCAAAGGTTGAGACATGAACTGAACACACACAGAACAGGAGGCTTTAATGGACAAAGGACGTTTATTGCAGCTGATCACAGACAGAACATCTGGTTTGGTGATTTGTAAGAACAGGTGAGATGAAGAAGATGATGAAGATGAAGATGATGAAGATGAAGATGATTATTATTATTATTTACATCAGGATCATAAACAGGTGATTCTCTGATTACAGGAGTGAAGCTGTAAAACCTCCAGCTGAGCAGCTTAAAGCCTGATAGGACACTCTACAGTCACACTGATGACATCATCAGCCCCAGCTAATCAGCTGCACTCGTTCCCTTTGATGAGGAAGAAGGTTCCAGCAGCCACACCCAGCAGACCGATGGTCAGACCCAGTCCACAGAAAACTGCAGGTCCAATACCGGGCTGCTGCACGTCCACATCTGGAGACAGAAACACACAGACATTAACTTCAGCTCCACATCTGGAGACAGAAACACACAGACATTAACTTCAGCTCCACATCTGGAGACAGAAACACACAGACATTAACTTCAGCTCCACATCTGGAGACAGAAACACACAGACATTAACTTCAGCTCCACATCTGGAGACAGAAACACACAGACATTAACTTCAGCTCCACATCTGGAGACAGAAACACACAGACATTAACTTCAGCTCCACATCTGGAGACAGAAACACACAGACATTAACTTCAGCTCCACATCTGGAGACAGAAACACACAGACATTAACTTCAGCTCCACATCTGGAGACAGAAACACACAGATATTAACTTCAGCTCCACATCTGGAGACAGAAACACACAGTCATTAACTTCAGCTCCACATCTGGAGACAGAAACACAGACATTAACTTCAGCTGCACATCTGGAGACAGAAACACACAGACATTAACTTCAGCTGCACATCTGGAGACAGAAACACAGACATTAACTTCAGCTGCACATCTGGAGACAGAAACACACAGTCATTAACTTCAGCTGCACATCTGGACACAAAGACAAAGACATTAACTTCAGCTGCACATCTGGACACAGAGACACAGACATTAACTTCAGCTGCACATCTGGAGACAGAAACACACAGACATTGACTTCAGCTCCACATCTGGACACAGAGACACAGATATTAACTTCAGCTCCACATCTGGAGACAGAAACACAGACACATTAACTTCAGCTCCACATCTGGATACAGACATTAACTTCAGCTCCACATCTGGACACAGACATTAACTTCAGCTGCAAATCTGGAGACAGAAACACAGACATTAATTCAGCTCCACATCTGGAGACAGCAGACGATTAACTTCAGCTCACATTGGACACAGACACAGAACATCAGTCCCTCGGTCTCTTTAAATGAAGCGTCTCACCCCAGATTCTGGTCAGTGGTTGGTTCAGAGCTGGATGAGTCACTGTGCAGCTGTACATGTCTCCCAGCTGTGGGGTGAAGTCCAGTCTGGACATCTGGGTGAAGGAACCGTCTTTGTTGGGATAGGGAACGTTGAGACTCGCTCCTTCAGTCACGTTCTCTCCGTTCTTGGTCCAGTGGACTTGGACAGGAGCAGGGTAGAACCCAGTCACATGACAGATCAGAGTGTTCTTCTCTCCGAGCTCCACTCTGTCTCTGGTGTAGATCATGGGACTGGAGGGAGGATCTGAGGAGGAACACGTCTTATTAAACTGGATCACATCATGTTCTGTGAAACATCTGCAGGTTGTTGTGTCACACACTCTGTCGTCATGGACGTGGAGCAACGAGGAGAAGGAGGGAGTTACGTCACTGATTCATTCAGCAGAGAGTTGATTACTGAGTTAATGAGTTAATGATGGAGGACCAATCAGACCGGACTGAACCAGAACACATGTCAGTGTGTCACTGTGATTTCATGCTCAGAGGTCAGAGGTCAGAGTCTTCCAGTGACCCCCCCCCCCCCCCCCCCCCCCC